ATATGAGATGTACGCTATCTTATAGAGCTTGGAACGCTGATTCCAAATCTGCCTTCGTTATCTGCAAAGCGCTTCTGGGAGGGGATTTAGGGGAATTTTTTGAAGTAAAAATTCAATGATTTGACTAAGGTAAAAACAGTTATTGAAGTTTTTCCAGAGCTTGAAAGGAGTAATAACTGGCATAACTTTATTAAGCTGAAGGTGTCAATTTCATGGAGCGCATTGGCAGTGATCATGACCAGTTTGAGCTCACAGACTACACTTTCGGATGATTATATCGTAGCCGCGCGTTTGAATTTTTGTTCAAAAAGCTTCCATAACTCTCTACTAAGAAGCGCTTTGCAGATGCCGAAAGCAGATTTGGAATCAGCGTTGAATGTCCTATAAGACTGCACATGATTCATATGGAAACCCTACTTCGACCAAGCATGCTTTCCTTGCTAGGCTCAGGGCTCGGCACAGATGGTTATAAGCAAGCTGGGTATCGTTTTTGGGACAAAAACCAAAGGAAATATCGGTTTTGAGGCCGAAAAGACACAACATAGGTCACATTTTTTAGTGGAACGATTTTTTACTTTAGGGTCAAAGGTCATATTCAGTGAAATTCAAGTGGGACTTTCGGAAAGCCGCTTCGTGCCGAGCGCTGCACAACTAACAGTGTCTCCCAAAAAGCCATGCAATACTGTGAGAATCTTTAATTCTAATCTCTCTAAATATCCTGACTCCTTCTTAAAGTCCTACAGGTTGATGGCCCCATTATAGCGCTTCAGTATATAGCGCATGAACGGAGATTATGATAATCGTAGTTTTGCGCTGTGACCTGATAACTTGAAAGTTCGAACAAGCGTGATTTTGTGATCAAAGTGATCAAGAAAGGTGAAGCCATGCTTGGCAGGCGCATTATCCTGTGAAGTCTGGTCAATTACTTTCCAAATATTGACATCGTAGAATACACGACTACTAGCACAAGTAACGATTTTTCAAAAAATTCGAGAAGCTACAGAAGCAAACGTTTTGGACAAAATGGTTTTCTTTCGGTAGGACATGCAGAAGGCAGTGGCGGTCGCAGGATTTCCGTCCGGCGGGGGGGGGGGCAAAATTTTTTCAAAACGAAGGGGCGTGCGTTAGCCACGCACTCCTAAATTTTTTTTGGGCGCTTGTCAAAACTCTTCCGGGCCCATAAGTCCTAAAATCTAGAAAAAAAAGTGGCGTGGCTGCAGCCACGCCCCCGAAAATTTTTTTTCTACAAGGTTAATTTGAATTTTAAAATTTTTTAAAGATTACTTTAATTATTTACAAGAATAAGCAAGTAACTTACACATTATTATAACCAATGCAAGTAAATTTTAAAAATTACCCGACCCATTCTCCGGGGGCGGGGAGGCGAGTCCCCCCGTCCTCGGAGCCACTGGCAAAAGCATATATGTTCAGATATTAAGTATTACCGTCTTAAATGATCTCAAAAATTCTAATACTTAACAGTTCTAATGATATCTGGCCTGTTTCAACGCACAATTCTCGGTCGATGAAGGGGTTCTTAGAAATAATGCTGTGACTTCTGCGGCTGTCCTGCGTATGACTACGATTTAGTCGAGACATTTCGTAATTTTGTGCTTATCCAGAGAAACGCAGACAAATTTGGTTTCAATCAACATGTTACGATAATAAGAACTTAGGCAAACGCAGTCATGTTTGATTTCTCATTAAGCCCAACCTACATTCGCTTGGCATTCACTCAAAGGGCGAATAATTTTGGCGAACATTACCTTAGGAACTTCTACTAAATAGTGTGATCAAAAAAACTATCATAAATTTGTTATAAATTATCAGAAGTTCAGTTTCCAGCACTGTTTTCTTCTCAACGCCAACGCCTTGGAAATCATAATTTACTGAATTTCATGCACCATCTTCCTGGTACAAAGAGTGGCGTGGATGAGGAAGTTTATGAACTCATAAAACATTGAATAACTGGAAAAACGATTAGAGTCAAAGCAAAAGATTGTAGTTTAGCTCAAAATAGTGTTGGCAAGACTTGGATGTTTCGCAATGGTCACACATGAAGCCTTTCGTTGTTTCGTGAGAAGTGCAGCCACCAGTATAGCAGGAAAGAGACATTAAAATTCAATTCTCACCTTGCAGCTGATAAAGGATTAGCGTCTATTGCACTTAATTATCTCTTAGTGGCTAGAGGAGTGAACGCCATGACCGATCAAGATATCTAATCACCACTAGTACTGGGATGGACCATGAATTTTGCACGGAAGACTCTGAAAAAATGTGTACGTAACCGACTAAATCTGCATAACATTGGGCTAAACCGAAAATTCGTTCACACCGGTTTCAAAAAATCTAACTTTTCTTGTCACGATGTTTCTGCTTCATCGTTGTGCACTTTTGGATGACACCTTGCACACTCTCTACTAATCTTTGACTGCAGAGAAAAATGGAAAAAGAAGATCTTTTGTCCGGCGATTTGAGGAAAGCCAGGCATCCAAAAACTGTGCACTAAAACCAGAAACAGCCAGTAACATAAGTGTTATGAAGTTCCTCTTCCAATGAGCAAAAGTTGTGCTGATCGAGTTTATAGGAAAAAATCTCAATAAACTATTTCTCGAGAAAACGGATTTTTTAGCATTTCTTCTCAAAAATCGTAACTTTCAAATAAAAGAGCTCGATCAGCTCAAATTCCGCTCAATTAGAAAGAGAAGTTCAAAGAACTTATGACTCTGGTGTTTCAGATTTACTGCACAGTTTTTGGATTTTTAGCGGACTCCTCAAAACACTGAATCTCAAAATAACTTCTTTTACATGTTCATTTCTGCAATCAAAGCTTACTAGAATTGAGCAAAGTATCATTAGAAAGTGCATGGTTTACTCGTTCTAATTAGATTAAGATGAAGCAAAAACAAAGACAAGTAGAAGTTACGATTTTTTGAAAATGGTGTGAACAAACTCTGGGTTTAATCAAATATTTTTCGAGTAGTCTGTAGTAATTTACACTTTTCATCAAAAGGATTGATCTTGAATGAAATCAAAATTCGCTCTTATGTACGAACTTTCGACCAATACGCTAATATTAGGTCGTTCCGAAAGTAATGTCGCTTTTTTCAAACGGGAGCCACATTTGATGGAACAAATGTTTCTAGGAGATCTTGGAAGTATTCGATGCAGCATTTTATTCTCTTTCTAATGGTTATAGTATCATGGCATCATATTCAAGGAGCTTTTAGAAAATTACCAAAATCTGCGACCCATGCTTTTTAAGAAGGTCAAGTTTCACAATTTTTTTAATTTTTTATAACAACCCTCGGAAGGAGTCCAAGTAATGGATGGATAGAGCAAACCCTACAGGAAACAGCACAACTTTTTTCTACTTTCCATAACTCGTCATAATTTTTGTATTGATTTTTTGATGGAACCACCCAGTTTCAGCAGGCTCGTCTCAGACACAAATGCATCAAACAGCAATAAATCTTCGGATTTCAAAACTTACAAAGATGGATTATGGTTTGACACTAATTTTACAAACCAAGTGAGCATTCACCGCTTCAGATTAGCAACTTTAGAAAATTCCGGGTACAGCTCGGGGCGCCCTGGAAAACCTGCATTATGATGATTTTATCCCGGAAAACCTGATGAATCGAGAACAAAAAACAACTGGTAGAAAGAGGAGAAAAAGCTGCGTCGAATGGCACCCGAGTTGCTTGCCGGTTGTTGTTCTGTGAGATTTGAGTTGACCAAATATGGACTTTGATGGCCTTTAAAAATTAACTCCAGAAACTCAAAGAAGCAAGCTAAGGAAAAGCAAAAGATTGTTTTGTGTCCTATAGGGTCTGCTCTATTTATCTGTTACTTGTACATTTTCAGGGAATCAGTACAAAAATTTGGAAAATTGGCCAAACTTGACCATGATAAAAAGCATGAATCGCAGGTTTTTTAATTTATTGAGAGCTCATTGAATACTATGCAATAAAATTAGAACCATTAGAAAGAGGGCGAAATGCTGCATCGAATAATCCCAAGAGCTCTTTGAAATCTTAATTCCGTGAAATGTGGCCTTCGATTGAAAAAAGCGACATTACTTTCGGAACGACCTAATAAAATCCGAATCATAAGAAATGTAGGGGGGAGCTGAACCATTTTAGCCTTAACGTGGGTCTTTCTAACAGCTTATTGCCGCAGTTCAATAATAGATATCTTGCTTAAAACACTGTGATGGGCACACACTTCTAATTCATATTATATTAAATAGATTGAATCTTGAAGAATTTGAGGGTTTTCAGAAAGTTTAGTGCTATACTATGTGCCAAAATATTTTTTGAACGCTATTTACATGAGCTAGCATGACGGTGCAGCCACTTGTGCGCAAAGTGTTTTCGGCCATGATTAAGCTCAAGGAAGGAGAGTACAGAGGCCGTGATTGGTTTCCAGTGGCCGTCGGCGAGGCCACTTGCTATTGCTGTCCGTTCACCGAAGATGTATGAGGGCAAATCGCATTTGGTCTACACGAAATTTCATTATTGCTGTGAAAGGCTCGGGTCAGCCGAGTCAATAGCCGCGAACGTGTCAAGCCCTTCGCTTTTCTGATGCGGAGGTCTTAAGTGTGGAGAACGCGCTGGTTCAAGATCTGACGAGTCTTGCAGCATAAAAGAAAAGCAAGGAAAAAATAATCAGGGAGCTAGGACTTGTCAAACAAAAGCAGTCGGAGTCACTTCCTGCTCAAAGGCTTACGGATTATCAAGGCAGACCGGGGGAAAACAACGAGCCGGGTTGACGGGTGGAGCAGTTTCGTTGGTGGCACGCGCTGACCGTCGTGATAAGAACGGGTATGAGCAAATATTTTCGAGTCGACTGCAAATTACTCACATGTCAACATGATCAGCCATATACGCTCATCTGACTCTGCTGCACTGGGGACGCTGAACGAAGAAAAATAATTTTATTTACACTGAAATTTTTTCTGCAACACAAGTTGCTCTATATACACTGCTAAAATTGATATCGGCTAATAGTACAAAACCCGTCCGTGGCAATGATGGACTAGCTACATAGAAGAACCATATGCGCTGAGGAATGTGAATATACACGAAGCAACACAAAGAAAAATCCTGAAAGAACTGCACTAAAAAATTAAGCAAATTATTGGATCACGCTGTAGTGACAGACTCTCTGTGCAAATAGCCAAGGTTTGCGTAGCCTTGTTGTTTTCCCGGCACCTAGAAGAGATGGAGCTAATTTGCTAAGTGCACTGCAGTTAATGAGCACCTAACCTGCATGTCAAGTGAGTACATTCCCAAAGAATGGCCAGGACCCTCGATTCGGCTAGTGGCCTCATAGCCGACAATGCGAGGAAGGTAGTGGACAGCACATCTGGAATCGCACGCAAAAGTTACTTATGAAGTTTAAGTGCACTCGGCGAGGCCATGGACTGCCGTTGATTGAGCTTTGCCGTGCTAAGCACTTTTCATTTAACGAATCAGCAGAGTATTTTTCAGCCATTCCTACACGGAGTGGTTATGATTGAAGTTTTCTTCTTACACGATGCGAGAGATATTTAAAACAAAAACAGATTGACGGTGTGAACAAATGAGTTGAGTGTGGCCATATAAGAAGAGAAAGTTTGCCATATGTCAACAATTCTCCTTGCCCGAGAACTTCCCCGCCATGCAGAACGGAACTGTCACAAAGTGAATTCTTGCACAATCAATCTATTTTTATAAAGTTTATCGAACTAATATCATTCCAAGCTTCTTCCATTCGGATCAAGGTCTTGTTGAATCAAACGTTTGTGTAAAACGTGGTCAAACGAAAGAAACTTCTTATCACACGTTCCACCCATTTAAATATGAAGCTTTTCCATGTTTTTTCGTGCTTTTATCGGTAACAATGCGCAGACGTTGCCATTTATCAGTAAGAAATAAGCACCAAAGAAAAAAATGGACTGTTTGCTAAGATTTTCTCCTAAGAAGAAGATTAATGGGTAATTAACTGTCGCCACAATAATAAGATTTTAACTCGCTATTCCATGTACTCAATGCGTTGTTACATATACCATATTCATAGAATGCAGCGCTTTCGATGGAATCAATCAGTAAGGATACCGAAATGTACCTGACAGCAACAATAAGCACAGCGAGGACAACAATGATCAGCGCGATTCCTCCGACCATCCACGCGTCCGGAATGGTTCCGTTCAGCAGTGGCTGCTGAAAACCAAAATCAATGCGCATTGCCTGTTAAAAGTCTCAGGAATGGGTATCTGTGCCAATGACTGTTTGGTGAAAAACAAAAAAAAGTAGAATTTTTTTAGCACCGTTCAAAATTGCCCTCTATTGGGCTAAATCGATGCGGCCCTCGTGTCATACAGACGTTATGCAAACAAATAAAAGAAGGACAGATTTATACTTCAAAGTCGCCGGCAGAAATCAGAGCTTTCGCCGATGAGCATGCGCGATGTGGGTTTGACGGATGGCAGTGGAAAATTGAATAGGTAGCGCAAAATTGGAACTAGTTCTTTTGGCTCCGCAAATATTCGCTGTGCGAGTGTGAATATTCAGGCGAAATCGAACGTTGGCATCTTGATATGGGAGCATGGTGATTATCCAATGATGAGAGTAGATTGACTTGCAAGTACGAGCTTTTGCGGCACTTTTTAGCAATTTGTCTCACGAGCATTATGAAAGAGGCCCCACCTTCTCATAAGAGGAGCTTTGGTAGAATGCCAGCGTTCGATTCCCATTGCTTCTCGAAACCATAGGTGGATTGCTGAAATTGAAAAAAATAAAACTCGCAGCTTTTATGATAGAGGGTTCAACTTTAGAACGTAGGCAATCATCTTACAAGGTGAGTCATTATTTGGCCTTTGGAGATAATGTAGAAACCTTGGCTTACTAACTGGCTTCATTAGCAGCCTCGAGATGAACTCGCGCAAGAAATCTGAGGGAGATTCCATGCAAACATTATTGATGATATGACAAGCTCTCCATCTGACAAGAGGGAACTAAATAAATTCTCTTGGTGCGGCATCGAACAGCGTTCAGTCCCAGCACTTCAAATTTGTCAATTTTTTGGTATAAAAACTAATTTCAACTAATGAACAGGTTTACGTTTCGAAGCTCCTTATCACTTTCATCTTCTGCGTCCATAGCAGACTTTCTTAAATAAAAGCAAAGCTTGCAATAATCTTGTGGATGAAAAGAGACAAGCTTCTACGCTTTAACGTGTCATCAGGTAGAAACAGTTCGGTAAAGAAGAAGTAATATGAAGTAACTACAAGTGGAAAAATAGGTCGCAGTCAAATATGATGAAATGTACATCCAAAAAAGCAAAAACTCTTTTCCTGGTGTGTTTCTTGATGAAGCAAGCTTGAGTGCTGAAACGGTAAACAATGGAGCGATCATTCAGTCGATTGAAGATTGTCGTTACAAAGGAGGCGTTAAATCCGGAAAAAAAACTTGTTGATTGCTGTACAGAATTGTAGTTGCTGGGGGCAGCACAAATCCGTACCAGTTTTTTTCTATTGCGAAACGGTTTCTGTGTCTCACGGATCAAGAAACGACGAGAATCAATCTTTGCATTTTGCCTACAAAAAAGTCTTATGATCAGTTCCACTGCTTTCGAGTTCTGTAATTTCTACCACTGCGCCAGCAAACAACTATGCCTGAGCTTGTACCAAATTTTGCTTGGAGAACGAGGTGATATAGCGCACTAGGAAGTGTTATGCATTGAATTTGTTATGATCTTTCTCACTACCATTGATCTAAAGAATAAAATTTTGGAAACACCTTTTGTCGCTGACAGGCAGGGTCGCGGATTTTTGAGTGGCTCACAGGGCTTCAAAATTATACAGCTGAGTTGTTCCTTCTCGCATATAGTTTGAGCAATGAATTTTTTTTCGAAACAATAGGCTTTGACAATTTTTTGGAGTGTGACTGCAGCCACGACAATCTCATATATAACTCTTATATAAAGCAAAAAATCTGCTTGTTTGTGCACTCTCCCCATAGTCATGAAGGATGAGCGAAAAAGCGCATTTTTGATCTGCTGGTCATCAAGATATGGTAAGGACAGTAGGAAGCGAACATGAGACGAAATTAAAAGAAGGATAAGTTCCGCTACCTGAGAGGCCAAACACCACGGACTAGCTCCAGGGCAGGGTGGAACCCGGGATGCCAGCTCGTATCTTATTTATGTAAAGCTGAATGTCTGTTTGTATGTTTGTCTACCTGTCTGTACGTGTGGTCGGAATAAAAACTTTTATTTCTCAACCGATCCTGAACAAACTTTGCAAACATACACTTCGGGGCGGTGCGGGTGCCATAGGCTACCTTCCTTCATCGATCGGTATCGATTTTATCGATTTTTGCAAAGTTTGAGCTACGGGGCTGAAAGTTGGCACAGGGGGTGGGGGGTAAGTGAGCAAGCTGACTACGAGTATGCCTACCCCGAAAATATATCTCGGAGAGCTACTGACATTTTTTACGCTCTCATAATACCTCTGCGATTACGAATATGTACTATGAAGACGGAAGAAATGGAGAAGAACAGGATAGCATCAGATCCGAATCGGTAGTGAGATAAAGGTGGCAGATAGGTGCCACAGCGTTGGCTCAGGCACGAGATCAAGTGTAAGAAGGCTGCAGTCTTGTGCAAATAGTTTCGTGCAAGTGCAAACCGCCAGCGCGAACGAAGATGTTGGTTACAATCAAAGAAAAACATAAAACATTCATGTCGACCATTTACACCATTTTCTACATGGTGCATACCGCGCTGCGATCAACCTACATAAAACGTTTGGGTTTCATCCAGAAGTGAGAGGAGTTCGCTACACTTTAAGGCGCGCAGTTGTCACAAAATCAGATTTAAGTGCTTTGTTGTTTGCATAACAATAGTCCGCTAATGCGTGGTTGGTGCATTTGACGCTCTAATCACAATGGTTTTGATATATTAGGTTGGAAACTAAGTTTTGCAACTGTTCTCATAACTTCCCTCTCACTCAGCATGGCGCACTCAAATTTTGCCACTGCATTGGATATTACGTAAGCTACAAGCGCAGCTGCTGTCCTATCAAATTCGGACGTAGCAGTGAGGGTTACGGTAGGTGCATGGTATGAAGCGGAAAAATTCAAAGTTTGACGGATTTGGCTGAAACTTGGCATAAGGGGGTTATCCGACATGCTAATCACGAAAACGGTAGTGAAATTGCGTGATAAAGGCTTTTTCATAGGATTACTGTAGGTGTACGATATGGGGTCTCACCCTAAACAAGGGAAGGAGGCGTTGATTCAACAAATGAATGTGATATTCGCGTTTGGCAGGTCAAATAACCCCACTATGTAAAGTCTCGGCGGAATTTGAGCTTCGGACTCTTTAGCCATTGACAGTCGTCCCCAGCAGCTCTTGCGTACATCGACTCGTTCGACTTTATGAGGACGCCAGATCTCGACATGCCCCTGAATTTTGTTTCTTTCTTACTAGGCCAAAGGAGTCAACATCCAGCAATAATTTGTAGACGAATCCGGATTACTGCGCATGGTCTAGGCTGCCAAAGGCTTCAATTTATCTTCAAACCCCAAAAATTCACAAATTTCACTAGTTTTCGAAAAACGCCTGAAACTTTCCTTTTTCGTGTTCAAAATTTAGACAATTTGTGCTCACTTGTAGCTCACATTGCCTTCTACATAATGCCAAAGTTTAAGTGCGTCATATCCAAAGAGAGCGGAGTTATAAAAAAAGTTGCAAAACTTAGTTTCCAGCCTAATAAAATGACATTTTGAAGGCAAATACGGACAATGAAGGTAGATCGCTTGCATATCATATTCTAACCATAATTTTAGACCGGGGCACAGATTCACAAAGGCATAGAGAGTAATTGTTCAGCGATACATTCAAGAAAAGAAACATGAAGTACTTTTCGCATATGAGTCTTTGAAAATGGAATTTATTCCATAAGTTCCTTTGCAAAATTAATTTTAACGTTTCCGTTCACAGTCAAAGCTAATAGAAAGATACTGCGCATGCGATATTTTCTGAACTTTCAATAGATGCAGAATGACGGTTGAATTCACTGATAATATTATAGTGATTCAGGCAGCATCGTTTCGTTCTGAAATTGGAATTGCGGTGATGTTTATGCTAGTCATTGCACTCTCATGGCTCTCGAATGAGACAGCAATTGCTGAATTCAGAAAGCGATCGACGTTTGGAATGGGAGCACTTTGCAGTTTGCTATGCAACAGTACCATTACAGTAGGACAGATGCAAAAACGAAGTTCTCATTGGAAGTACGTACAGGATATCAAGTCCATCCATCGAATGGGACAGGGGACAATGCTTACTCTCCAACACATCTGATATCACCCGCGCAGCTTGCAGGTGACATTTAGCAGACATTTATCGTGCTCTGATGAGAGCTGGCAGCACTTTGTGGACTAGTTCAAAGAAAAGACAGCTGAGCATGCATGGTAAACAAGAACTGCGACGTCTTAGGGCAGAATTTGTCCATTGATTTCTAGTTTTTCTGCATCGGGCAGTTGACTGGTTCTCTTCTGTTCCAGGATTTATTACAAAGTTGCTTTTGTAAAATGCTTTCGAGTGCGTCATACAGTCTGTAATGCGAACCATAGGATAATTATATGCTCATTTCGCAAATGATGAATTATAACATGCGCTCAAATTAGTTCAGATAAACTCTCGTTGCAAAGCATGTAATAGCTAGCTCATTGTCAGCAACAAATTACCTGGAAGGTCCGCCTCTAGCCGGCCGAAACTGGCAGAAACTTCTATTCGGCAATTGCAATGAGCGTCAGCCGAGCAGCGAGTCGATCATCGCAAGGACCCCATAGATAATGCCTGCTGAAGCAGCGCACTGGAGCTTTTCGTTCTGCACAGATGACAAGCCACTAAAAAGGCTCAACGTGCACTTTCTCTCAAAATGAAACAATGAGGAAACTTCTTCTCCGATACCTTAGCGTCTCAACAATTTCGGAAGTGCATCGTGCAAAAGAAAATTAGTTTGCTCATTTATATGGTGACATGCATTTTGAGTGAGAAATGGAACTGCGAAGAAACGAAAGAAGGGTTGTATGGCGGTCGAGTGGCGCGATTTTTATTGCCAGATGAACACAGTTAGTGCATTTTCGGTTCCAATGTTCTAGGAGATACTCAAAGTTTCAAGAAGATAGTAATTTCTCCATGGGTTGCTCGATCTTATCACTTTAAGATAAATTCTCAACATAAGTGTCGGAGGTCAAACACCAGTGAAAATGCAAATAATGACGTTTTCGTGTTTTTTCGATCGAGGTTTCACTAAAAGCCGTCGATAGCGACTTATAGCTTCAGATAGTAAGTAAGCTAGAGCACTTTATCTGATAATCATAAAAGACTCGCGTAGCACTGGGCTGTTAATCTGGTGACCTCTGTAGAAATTGCGCCTCTTGTTCGTCTTCCCGAAACCGAATAAAGCGTATCGTTCCACTCATTTCCTAATTCACTGCATTTGTGCAAGCATCAGTCAGGTCGTCATGATATTACACTTCTTCTTTTTCTGTGGAAACTACAAAATTTCACAAGATCTTGCGAGTATGCGGCGAGGGCAGGAATGCGCGCTCATCGAATTCTTCTCAAAGTTTTTCCACGTTTCTTCCTTCTCGACATGGATTTTAATCGCTTCATTGACGGCAGTAGAAGTTAGGACAATTTTTTTGATATTTTTCGATTAAGTACTATGAGTAATTACCATAGGACTACATAGATAACTAAGATTTGTCTAGATCAAGATTTGTTTAGATCAGCCTCAGAACAGGAGACTGGCTGTAAGTTAAAAAAGGTTTTCCCTTCAAAGTAGGAGAGCTAGTACTTCATCTCACCAATTTCTTGAACGGAAGGACAGATCATAAAATTAGAGTGTGCAGTCGAGTGTCAGTCTCACCGCTGTGAATTTGAAACTATGCACGTTTTCAGAGTATCTGCTGCGAACAGTGTGGTAGTTACCACGGGGAGGCACTCCTCCAATAGGAAACAGTCAGAAGGATTTTCAGAACAGAGCTGTTGCGATAGCGCTAGTGAATCAAACAAATTATGAGAATTCAGTTTGCGCATAAGCTGATTGGCATCGATACAGAATTCCATAAGCGAATGCACGTACAGGTAAGGATGGGAAAGAATAATTCTCAATGAACAGTAAAGCAAATGAAAATAATCATTGTGAATGCATAGATCCATTGGGTGCGAAAGCCATATATACTAAATCAAGTCGAAAGTTTTCCGTTGCGCATCAAACATCAAATTGTATACAGCGGGATGACGTATGTGGTCAAGGGCACGCTGACCAGCATTCCGTTCTCCTTGATCACTGACAGCAAAAGTTTCATATGCTGAAATGATATCACAAAGAATCACCTGAACTGGCGAAAACACAATCTCGGTTACCCAAGATTAGGAGACCGTTTTCACAAATGGAAGTTTACAATTTCTTTAATATGCTTGAGGCACTCGAGAAACATGCTCTGAAGCCACAATTAAGTAACAACTCCAATCAAATCCAAGTCACTCAGTACTCTCTGCCTTGCATAGCATTCCAGTCAGCAGTGTAGTGTTAAACAAAGGTGGTCAAAAGAGAATTCTGAGGAAACAGAAAAGAAAAATGACTAAGAAGCGTGAGTGACACCAAAGGCGAAAAAAAAGTCGAAGCATGCCTTTACCTTGTGAAGCAAATATGAGGTACTATCAACGCGTGAAAGCTATCCGAGACCCCGGGCCCGCGTTGGCATAGGTGCGAATAGGGGGGAGCAGGGTCCCCCCCCCCCCAGGTGAAGGGGGTTCCTTCCGACCTAGAAAAGCGATGGAGGTAACTGTGCCTTGAGGTGAATGCCGACGTAAGCTTACATGCCAAGAGGGACGGGTGTGCAAAGAGGCAAAATAAGTGGTACAGATCAGGAAAGCTTTATGTCTCATCAATCGCATACCATTTGAGAGCTTGGAACATGTAGAATCGACACAGATCGTCTCTTTTTCAGTTATCCTGTGAATTCACGTATAAATTTTTTTTATTTAGCTCTCCTGTATCAGCTGACTTCATGCAATCACTTTGTGCTCTATTTCTGAGAGGGAGGAAACCTAGAAAAAAAAAAGAGGCGGTCTACGATTACTGGCAAACTCTTGCTATGTAACAAAGTTAGACAATTAGACGTCCTCATTCACTTTTCGCAAAAATTTTCTCACAAAAACACGTATGTATTCAGTTTAATTGCCATGTATCTCCGAGTAGAGGGGTGCCAGGAAAAAAGAGACAGCCTATATGGGATTCCCACTTCGTGAGCTTTCTAACGGTACATGGATTGTTGGATGAATAAATTTGTGGCTCTCTAAGAACGGATGGAGATACAATACCACCCGTAATTTGTGAAAAAAAATGGCGGCGGCACTTAACTTACGCGGCGCCGCCGAAGTTAGGTGACTTTTGCCGCGTCGCGCGGCAAAAGTCAGCGGAAAAGCGGCAAAAGTCACCTAACTTTGTCGCGCAACGCCTAACTTTTTATAAAAAAAGACCTTATCTTGATTCAAAATTTATGAATTCTATATATAAGAGTACCATTCAACTCAGCTCGGCGAGGCGCATCTTCCAGTATACGGATGTGCCTAGTTGTGGGATATAAGTTTCTTTCCTGGAATTTTAGTGTAAATGGACCATTCAGTGTGCTTATTCCAGAGGATACGTACACATTCTATTGAGCACAGCAGAAATAGGGCAGGTATAGTTTAAGAGCTCATTCTGCATGGATATATGTGAAACTGGGCAGCTCATTCTGCATGGATATGTGTGAAAGTGGGCTTTTCTCGGCGAAGTATGACGGGTCCCAAAATGCAGGAAGACAAAGGGAAATGGTCGGAAATCGCATGAGAAGCACATATCGCGGAATGCCGCGCGTGCTGTGCAATGTACAATACCACTCACAGAACGGGAATTGCGCGAAATTCCAGAAATTTCGCGATTCCGGATTATCGCAAATTATGCAGCGCCATAACTTCCTTCGGAATTAATATATTCTAAATTCGAAAGCAGCACTGTGTTCATCTCGTCAAGGCGAATCTTTCTACATACGTCATGTCATCTATATCTTGTTTTCAGTTTTCTCAAATTGTTCTGAGGAGGTCCCTTTGCAAGTATGTAACGCAGCGCCTATCCAACTTGAAAGCTTCCAGTAAGCACCATTCGATAGTGCTCTTCTTGTGCATTATACTGCGCTAGTAAGCTGCCGCAGACTTCTTTTCAAAAGAGAAAAAAGCGTTGGTAAATTCTGGAAAAATCACTCGTTTCCAGATTCTACTCGCCGTAACTTTCTTTGGAGTGGATATTTTCTGAATCCGAAAAATGCATTGTGCTCAGCTCATCAAGGCAAATCTTTCGGTATGCAGAATGTCCTTGATATCTCGATTTCAGTATTCTCAAAACTTTCTGCGGACGTCTCTTCGCAAAGGTGTGAAGCAGCGCGTATTGCCCCCAGTACATTCAGAAAGAAATTTTCGATAGTACTTCTTTTGTAGATTATGGAGCGCTAGAAAGTAGCCGCACACTCCTTTTCAAAGGAGTTAGAAGGGCTGGTGAATTCTGGAAAAATCATGTCCTTCTAAATTTTTCTCACCGTATCTCACCAAAAAGACCCTGTAATCCTCAAAGACCACGATTTTCGTAAAGAGCGTGTTCGAAAACCTCTGTAAGCGAAGTTTCCTGTCAATTCGAGATCATCGACATTTTGACCAAAATCCACCGGCGAGCTTCAGAGCGTAAAACGAGAAAAAATGAAATTACTTGAACATCTTGGAAAACTTGCACTTAAGGGTTATCCGACCTGCTGGTTACGAAAATCACATCTGCTTAGCAAGAGAGCTTCATATTTTAGAGTTACGTTGAGAAAAATTTAGAAGGACATGATTTTTCCAGAATTCACCAGCCCTTCTAACTCCTTTGAAAAGGAGTGTGCGGCTACTTTCTAGCGCTCCATAATCTACAAAAGAAGTACTATCGAAAATTTCTTTCTGAATGTACTGGGGGCAATACGCGCTGCTTCACACCTTTGCGAAGAGACGTCCGCAGAAAGTTTTGAGAATACTGAAATCGAGATATCAAGGACATTCTGCATACCGAAAGATTTGCCTTGATGAGCTGAGCACAATGCATTTTTCGGATTCAGAAAATATCCACTCCAAAGAAAGTTACGGCGAGTAGAATCTGGAAACGAGTGATTTTTCCAGAATTTACCAACGCTTTTTTCTCTTTTGAAAAGAAGTCTGCGGCAGCTTACTAGCGCAGTATAATGCACAAGAAGAGCACTATCGAATGGTGCTTACTGGAAGCTTTCAAGTTGGATAGGCGCTGCGTTACATACTTGCAAAGGGACCTCCTCAGAACAATTTGAGAAAACTGAAAACAAGATATAGATGACATGACGTATGTAGAAAGATTCGCCTTGACGAGATGAACACAGTGCTGCTTTCGAATTTAGAATATATTAATTCCGAAGGAAGTTATGGCGCTGCATAATTTGCGATAATCCGGAATCGCGAAATTTCTGGAATTTCGCGCAATTCCCGTTCTGTGAGTGGTATTGTACATTGCACAGCACGCGCGGCATTCCGCGATATGTGCTTCTCATGCGATTTCCGACCATTTCCCTTTGTCTTCCTGCATTTTGGGACCCGTCATACTTCGCCGAGAAAAGCCCACTTTCACACATATCCATGCAGAATGAGCTGCCCAGTTTCACATATATCCATGCAGAATGAGCTCTTAAACTATACCTGCCCTATTTCTGCTGTGCTCAATAGAATGTGTACGTATCCTCTGGAATAAGCACACTGAATGGTCCATTTACACTAAAATTCCAGGAAAGAAACTTATATCCCACAACTAGGCACATCCGTATACTGGAAGATGCGCCTCGCCGAGCTGAGTTGAATGGTACTCTTATATATAGAATTCATAAATTTTGAATCAAGATAAGGTCTTTTTTTATAAAAAGTTAGGCGTTGCGCGACAAAGTTAGGTGACTTTTGCCGCTTTTCCGCTGACTTTTGCCGCGCGACGCGGCAAAAGTCACCTAACTTCGGCGGCGCCGCGTAAGTTAAGTGCCGCCGCCATTTTTTTTCACAAATTACGGGTGGTATTGTATCTCCATCCGTTCTTAGAGAGCCACAAATTTATTCATCCAACAATCCATGTACCGTTAGAAAGCTCACGAAGTGGGAATCCCATATAGGCTGTCTCTTTTTTCCTGGCACCCCTCTACTCGGAGATACATGGCAATTAAACTGAATACATACGTGTTTTTGTGAGAAAATTTTTGCGAAAAGTGAATGAGGACGTCTAATTGTCTAACTTTGTTACATAGCAAGAGTTTGCCAGTAATCGTAGACCGCCTCTTTTTTTTTTCTAGGTTTCCTCCCTCTCAGAAATAGAGCACAAAGTGATTGCATGAAGTCAGCTGATACAGGAGAGCTAAATAAAAAAAATTTATACGTGAATTCACAGGATAACTGAAAAAGAGACGATCTGTGTCGATTCTACATGTTCCAAGCTCTCAAATGGTATGCGATTGATGAGACATAAAGCTTTCCTGATCTGTACCACTTATTTTGCCTCTTTGCACACCCGTCCCTCTTGGCATGTAAGCTTACGTCGGCATTCACCTCAAGGCACAGTTACCTCCATCGCTTTTCTAGGTCGGAAGGAACCCCCTTCACCTGGGGGGGGGGGGGACCCTGCTCCCCCCTATTCGCACCTATGCCAACGCGGGCCCGGGGT